ATTGTGGCTTTTGTTTGTTTTCAGGGTCAATGAAAAAGCTCTAATGAAATCTGATTAAATGAAGCAAACGAATCTTGAAACGCCAAAAGTAGTTTTGTTCTAGCGATGGGAAATCGTAATCACTATTTTCACTGAACATCTCGCGCAAGACCTGAGAGCCATACAAGACCTGATTACATACTAATGAGCCATTCATTTTCATAACCAGCGTCCATCCATATCCACCACATTCGCCAAGACTTGTCATGTGACAGTACACAGGGACCTTTTCAGAGCCTATTTGTAATAAATAGGCCTTATTCCCGTCGGCCCTAAAAGAAATGAGACAGAAATTTCACAAAAAAAGGAATGAGGTATATACATAAGGGTGGCTTAGTGACGTTAAAGTACAAAACTCTAGGAAAATGTACCTCGCGTTTTTTTAATTTTTCTTTGCTTATGCTGTGAAATTATTAATATGTTATTTTTTTCGTAGGCTAGTTTCTCTTATTTAGCTTTCAACTTGAATTATTTCAAGGAAAAAGTAGGTTGGAGTTTTAAAATATTATGTCTTCCTCAAGGATTGTAGTCACCAAAAAAACTTTGGCGTTTTTGGATTATAAAAATTGTTGGGATTTTTAACTCAGACTGACCAAATTTTATCATTTGATGCTGGAAGAAGCTACTATTAATAGTGCTTGGGTGATTGAAACGCTCTACGTCTTACTTACAGTTTGTTATGATAAATTTCCTTGCACGTGGAGTTCCCTGGAAGACGAAGGGAAATGAAATAGTTGAATTCAATGCGTGACTCAAAGTCAAACTTTTTTCAACTATACCTCAGCCGGCATCTTTAATTCATATTGGGTGCCATTATGAACTAAATTCATCTCTTCCACATCTTTATTCATCGAGAATGATCCTCCCACTGTCTGCCAGCTAACTACTCACTTAACAATCTCTGAGGCTGATGTAAGGTTATTGAATCGTATATTGAAAAAGATGAAAAGCATAACTCAAAATATTTTGCCTTTCTTTATGATTAAAGTCATGATTACCCATTTTATTTTCACATCTGTCGCCAGTCCAAGGATATTGGCAAGAACATGAGAAGGTTTGGTTTTCCTTTTCATGCAAGCAAGAACCACCATTGAGGCAAAAGGCTAATTGACAACCCTGAAAACAAAAATGGACAACATAAGAGACAAAATTTAAACTAGAAATTCATAATAACTGAGCTTAGTATCGAAATCACGGGATCCAATCACCTCCGATTAAGGATGGCAAACATTTTTTCTCTTTTTTTCAAAAGGCTTGGGCAAGGTTGTGACTCTGAGGCTTCAAATCCAGACCCTATTTACGACAAGAACTTTAAACTTTGTGACTTTTTGAAACCACGGACTGGAATCACGGTAAACAGCTTCAGAAGTTACGAAAAACATTGAATTGAATGAATAGCAACGATTGCTGCCAATATTATCGCCTTGTAGAAACCTTATTGTCTGTGAAGAAATCATATTGAAGCTGTTTAGAGTGTTAAGAATGTTTCAGATTTAAAACGATTGAAACTAAATAATGTTTGACCACGGTAAAAATTAATACCGACCCCCTACCACGCAGCAGTGAGTGGTGGGCGGCTGATCAATGAGGCTCTACAGAGATTCCTTATACCCCCCTCCAGCACGCAGATGATGAACTAAATGGGCAGTCGCAGTCACAGTTCTAATAATTAAAAATGTCCCACAGCCTTAGTCCGTGCAAAAGTGATAAGTTTTCAGGATTTGCTTATATTGGGCTGAATTGAAATTGCTGTTAAGGTGCTTTGTTCCGATTTAAAACATTGAGGACAAAAAAAGTGATAATTTTCCTTTGGTTTGTATTTTTTTGTGAATTTCTGATGAATGACTTTCGGAACAAGCTTTGATTATTTTGTTCTCAAAAAACCATGATGTGCGGGGAAAATTCAGCTGTGTTATTTGTTGCTTCTTGAAGCCGTTAAACTTGTCACCTTGAGGAATGACGCCATAATTATTAGCCTTTGTCTGTATACGTCAATGCTGAGAGTGCATGTTAAAATTCTCACCACTATCAATTTTTTTTTTCGTTTAAAAGGAGTTGATTACTGGAACCAAACCATCCAAGATGAAAAGAACCAACGCGTGAACAAACATAATGGTTGAGAACACCTATCTTCAACTTAAATAATCCATTTGTTTTTTAAAGTAAGTTCAATTATGATATGCACACGATCGTAGAAACATTATTTCCACGGAATATTTAAAAGGAAAAAATGAAAAACAAAAGGTTTTGCTGACAGGATGTCCGATCTGAATTTTGTAATAAGGATTATTTACATGCAAAGATGAAAACTGTGTGACATAGAAATGAAAAGAAAATACTGTATTCATTAAGCGTTCTAATTTCAACAGAGACACAGTGTTGTTTACTTTTTATCATACAAACCTCATCACAAACACAAACGAAATTTTTCGCAAAAATAAAGCAAATATTCGAAATGACGCTCGGGTTGGTTCTAGTAGAGAAGTGATAATTGGTTCATGAAGGATATTCGTACGACTTCTATTTTGGGTCAACCCATAAGCTTTTAGCGCTCTAGGACTCACACAGCGATGATTAAAAACCCTGATAATCTATATTGTTCGCCTTGAAAGGCAGTAATCTCTTTAATCAGGAAATTGCGATTTTACCCTAAAGACTGAAAAGGCGATAAGAATCATTAAAGTTATCGGTTTTCAACCATGGTTGCCTTTTTTCGGTTTTATGCAAGTTGAAAATTAAATGGGGTAAACTCGATCAGCGAAAGAAGAAGTATATTGTATAATTCTTTTTTAAATTGAGATATTACAAGTAAATCACCTTAAGGCGTAGTGAAAAAGTAACTTGCTCCCGGTCCTCAAAGTTGATATTTTCGTTGGAAACTGAGATGTTGTGTGAGTTCAGTTCACAAGTTCCTCTGCCATCCTTCTCGGAAAACAACCTGAAGTTTGTGGAGGTACACCACGACGCCATCAAACATCGCTGACCACAAGACAGCAAACTGGGAGAACTGAATCTTTTGACAGCATAACCCAATAGCTGCTTATTCCTCAGGGTTTTGAAATATGATGAACGAGGATCCGATTCCGAATTTCCCTCGGAGAAGAAAACGGTGCTTGAGTGGAACAGAAAGAAAAGGTGCAATACTTTGCCGCTGCGCATCGCAGCCGATATTAGAACTTCGAGTAAAAGAGTTTTCGGAAGGCCTTTGCTCGGACTAGTCATGAAAATCTATGAATAATGTACTTGTTGATAATGCGGGTGGCGGCTCGGCAATGATCGGTAATCTTCGTGCAGCTGTCGTTTTCAGGCACGTACAGCGATGCTGTCGTTTTTGTTTATTCTACTTATAAGAGCTTGCAGATAAGACTATATGGCTCCATCATCGCCACATCACAAAAAAAGAGATAATATTAAAAAAAGAGAATAAACCAATAAATTAAGCTTTTCTTCTATAGAGCAGAATGAAGATTTTTTCCTATCGAGAATATTGCTTCAAAGATCACCGACGTTAAAAACAGAGCAATATGAACGTGATCACGCAGTTACGTAAGCTTTTTTATTAAAAGCTCCAATTTTTTCCGTGTTGCCGTCATTCTGTTTATTCTACTTATAAGGGTTTGCAGATAAAACTGCATGGCTCCATCATCGCCTCATCATAAAAAAAAGAGATAATATTGAAAAAATAAAATAAATCAATAAATGAAGCTTTTCGTCCAAAGAGCAGAATGAATAAGATATTTCCAATCGACACTATTGCTACAAAGATCATCGGCGATACGAACGTGATCACACAGTTAAATAAACTTTTTTTTAAAGCTCCATTTTTTTCAAATATTTGCGTTTACACTAAAATGCAAGAAATGGTTAAAACAGCGAATAAAGCCGCATTTCAATAAAGTTTGACATTTGCGGTGAAGAGTTGGAGAAAAAAAGCATTGTATTTACCCTATGGCTTAAACTCGTAGATAAGTTGGCTGGAGTCGGGCGTTTTCATTTTCGAATCTGTTTTGGTTGGTATGGTTCTTTCTGTAGCGGAACATTTGAAATCCTTACCTGTCATATAGTCTATCTGAAATTGAAACCTCTTTTGTGTTGTGCATCCCTTCCCCCTTCCCCCTCCGTCGCTGCTGCTCCGATCCCCCGACCGATCCCCTACTGTATAATTTTCCAAGATTTCGACTACAATGGCTAAATATACGATTTTTAAAGTCTGTTCTAAACAGTCGTTGTGCTTTCTTCGCAAATTGTCACACTTTGTTATGACACTTATCGCAATCTGTAGAACAGTTGTCACACTTTGTGATAATACCACTTGTCGTACCTCACAATGACACCTGCTGCGTTTTTTGTTAGAAAACACTTCTCCCTCTTTGTGATAACACTTGGCGCAGTTTGTAACAACACTTGTCAGACTTTGTAGCAACACTTATCGTACTTTTCAACAACACGTCTCACTTTGCAATAACACTTGTCGTACCTTGTAATAACCCTTTTCACACTTTGCAATAACACTTGTCACACTTTGCAATAACACTTGTCATACTTTGCAATAACACTTGTCACACTTTGCAATAACATTTGTCACACTTTGCAATAACACTTGTCACACTTTGCAATAACACTTGTCACACTGTAATAATACTTGTGGTACTTTGTAATAACACTTGCCGTACGTCACCATTTTTATTTGACAGAACAAAGTCAAAAATTGCAAAATGTTGAAGGAACTTTCTGGTACTTAGCTATTGATGAAAGTGTTAAATAGATGCATAATTTGCCGTTTTAGGCACTTCTATGAAATAATCCCTTGGTTTTTTTGAAAGGTGGTCCCACCGTACACGTAGAACTTTTGGTAAAAAAAAGAAATTCACATGGGATATCAGCGTCACTGTGCATGCTGTGATCAGTGAGAACAGTCAGATGAGCTCATTAATTTCCTTCTTTTGGGATCCAAAAGATGAAACTGAGCATGCGCAAAGGAAATGACCATAATTAACTGTATAAAAACCAGGAGTATTAATAAAAATTCTGTCGCCCTCCCAATCCCTCTTCAAATAGTAGAGTTAGTAGGCTATAGGTAACTAGGTGCTAGACCCCCGGCAGACTTCTCTTGGACTCGTCTCAATTTTCCCGCAGGTGGAGAAACGCTTTTTCCTGCAGCACTAACAGTGAATGCCTTTTTGCTGGCTTAAATCTAAGCTGAGAACAACGGTGTTCTGATTTATGTTTTGAGAGCTTCCTAAACGTGTACGTTTGTTGCTGTTTGTGTTCAGATATGATGACTGGGTATGAAGGTTATATCGGTTTGTTAGATCAAAGTGATTGAAGTGCTATTGAATGTTGTGCACGCTCATGTCCAAAAATACGCACAGTACCTTCCTGTAAACAATACGAACTATGATTTCATTGGACCAAGATATATCCCATCGCTTTGATATTCGTGTCGCCGTTGTTTCTGGCAGCTTCGTTGCCACATGTGTTATTATCGTCGCCACGTCCTCCAGAACCAAACCCAATTCTAGAATCACAGGTAGCGCAGCTATTTTGGCCGTTACTCAGAATTCCAATCCTTGCTTTGGGCCAAATCAGGTTACCCCTGTTTTCAGGCGTTTGTTTTACATTAAATCCTTCTTTGTTGCAATTGGGCTGCAATGAAACCTTAGAACCAATCAGCCACTTCCACGTGTCACGACCCAATGAGGTTGCACGGTATTCGCCATCAGCGATCAGTGAGTAGAGAGACTTCGCCCGCCTCGCAATGGCTACGTACCTAATGTGACCGTCGATCTTCATACCAAGACAGATTTTGGTGAATGGTGTGTTCCAATAAGTCGGTAATTTGGTCTCTTGTAAGTCGAACCCAGACTTCCCTCCTTCAAGATTAAGGGTATCCTTGTTGATCCACAGGTTGGAATCGTAATGGAACGTCCTCTGGGTATCAGTACAAACATAATTCTCACTAAATTTCGTATAAGGATAGCTTTTCATTTGGCGCCCAAATAAGCACGGATTTATTCGCCCGTAAATATAATCTGTTCCGAGAAGTGAACAGTTAACCAATAGCAAAGCTAGAGAAAAACTGCGAGCTTTGAGGAACAGATGATATCCAAGGACAAATTTCCAGCTTATTTCCAGGCCAAATGGAGGTTTATGTAATTATCATATATTATTTTTTATACAGTGAGCGGAGCAAAAGGTTTAAAAACAGCTTTCAGTCGCAAACAGGTGTAAACTATTGAGAGCGAGTTTGTGAACAAACAATTTAAGTCTCCTCGCGTCTGTTTAAACATCGTCAAAATACACTCAACTTTTGCTAAAGAATACGGTCATCGTTAGCATCATGAGAAAAGATTTTAAACTAGCCGGAATATCCCTAGGCAAATGTCATCAGACTGTTGCCAGTGTTAGCTTGGGTATCTTCCGTTAGGTTACGCGTCTAGGTCGAGGGAAATGCAATTCAGGAAATCTCTACTGGAATACAGATCCCAGAGGCACATATCAATGGAAGGATGCGAGAAGATTACTGATAAACTTGAAATTCAGTCTTTTCTATTTTGCATGCAGCATTTTTATTCCCTGTGCATTTTATAGGCAGGGCATGTCTTAATTTTCTGTAACATCGCTTGCATAAGTTTCTTGCCTTTTAAAATGAAAGCTGTGTATACCTTTGAGCCATTCATCTTCATGACCAGCGTCCAACCATTTCCATCGCATCTGCCAAGCCCTTTCATGTGACAGTACACCCAAATGCTCTGATTACCAATTTGCAATAAATAGGCTTTGTTTTGTATGCCCCTGATAGAATAAAGCACAAGTGATAAAACCCTCGATATACTAGCAAACCTACGGTCAGTTCCATAAGTCGAAGAATTTGTTTTTATCAACTGAGTTGACATTGTGAATTGGGCACAGAGTTTCTAAACTGACCTTTTAAGCGTTAGCCCTTTGTATGAGGACATTATCGACTCAGTTTAAAGAACCGAACTACTTCGTAATTCCCCTCCCCAACCCCCAACCCCCATCGACGCAACACTACATTTTGTTCAGAAATTTACCCCCTTTATTTTACAATTTGAATCAATTTAGCTAATTAACCCTTTTTCTTTAGGTATTTTCAGTGTCTCTGATGTTCACAGAAGTGTTAAATCCATCAACATCTGATTACAGTGATAAATTTTTTTTAACAATTGAAAGTATAAGACAATTTAAGTAAAGTCATAGACTTACAAATTCTTGTTATAGATTCCCTTGCAAGACGAGTTCCATAAGGCAGCTAAATGGACGAAAGAAAAAAACACGCCGAGCTATTAAAATACGCGTGGGTTTTTAAATGAAGTAAAACTACAGCACTAGATATTGCCAGCTGAAGAAACCTAAATCAGCAAGATATTAGCTTATAAGTTCACAATCGGTGGTAATTTTTGCAATGCAACGATTCACACCTCTATCAAATTTATTATTCCTTTTTCCAAATTAAACGTTACGAGCAAGAAATAGATAAATGCTACCTGACTTAATTTCACATCTGTCTCCTGTCCAAGGTTTTTCGCAAAAGCATGAAAAAGTTTGTTTGTTCTCGTTAGGCAAGCAAGAACCACCGTTGAGGCAAATTTCAATAAGACATCCCTGTCAACGAAAAATAACCACAATAAAAAGTTGTGTAAAAAAAATCCGTTGTGATAAAACTGATTTTGAGTTAAAATCATGGTCTGGTGACTTTTCATTCACGATTTGATTTTTAAGCAGCTGAATCATCGTAAAATGTTATATACACTCCACAAAAGGTAATTTTTGATTCAAAGAACCAAATATTAAGCTAGAAATTTAGGAGAAAATTATTACTTTTAACACATTCGCGAGAAATTTGCATTAGGAGGTAAACAAGAGAACCGTGCGCTAAAATCCTGAAGCCTTTTTATTGCCGAGAGATCAAATTTTTGCTAAAATCCTCAGGAGACATAGTTCTTTCAATTTAAAAGAATCATAGATAACAAATGTTTGGGTTCGAAGTTTTTCAAACCCAAGCTTTATGTTGTATTTCCTATCTTAAAAGACTTAATGGAATTATTACAATAATAAAGTGTATATGTTTCTACTTAGAAGAACTTGTCAGACGATGCGAAAAAGGTGATAATGAACTGGTCTATTTTGGGAAGACAATGGTAGATATTACTTCAAAAAGGTTGCATTGAAGTTTAGCAAAATTAGGGACAGTAGAAGTATAATGGTCTTTAAAAGACCGAGAAAAAAAAACTTGAAATAAGCAAAGATCCGGAAAAATTTCACCCATTCTTGATGTCAGATTTTGAGCAGATTTCCATCCATACTTTCCAAAAAAACCTGTTTGCTTCCCAAAAAACTGTTTACTTCTTAAAGCATTGGCAAAATAACACCTCGTTGTTAATTAAATTTAATTCTTTCGGATGCAAATGAATGAAACAATCCAAAAGAAACATGGAGAAATCCCGCAGCAAAAATGGAAGGCACAATCACTGATTGTTTGAATGATTCTAGAAATGACAATTTTGCCCAAAGACATTTCACTCTCATATTGTTATGACTTGTTTGCATATGTGATATGGACGATAACAACATACATTTCATTACCTTTAGTAGAATTGAGAAAGTTATTCCCTCCTGTTCAGCAAAGTGGGTGTCGTCGTTAATCACAGAGATGTTATGCCTGTTCAATTCACAAATCCCTTCGTCTTCCTCCATGGAAGAACCTAACCTGAAGTTCGTGGAGGTACACCACGAATTTCGCAGACATTCATGACCGCACGATAACAAACTGGGAGAATCAAACCTTTTGACAACATATCCCAAAAGCTGCTTGTTTCCGTGCGTTTCAAAATATGATGAATGAGAAGCTGATCTGGATTTTTCTTCAGTTGAAAAAGCAGTAATACTTTGAAAAACGAAAAGTAATAGGACGTTTTTACACTCCATTAGAAATAGACTAAACAAACGTACCCCAGCCAGAAGATATTCAAATGTTATTACATGTTGCCTCGTCGCATCTCGATCCTGTGATAATAAAGTGTTTCGTCGCTGCGATCAGCTGCCTCGTAACTAGAGCCGAAGTCTTTCGCCTATTTTCGGTAATCTTCGGATATCATTGTCGATACGAAGAGTAGGGCGACGTTATATTTTTGATAACACCCTCTTACTTTGTAAATTGATGCAATTCTCAGAATCCAAACACAAGGGACTAAGGGCTATTTGTAAGAAGACATGGCAAAGGTAACCGACGAACAACGGAAAAACCATTTTAATTCAGATGATGCAATTAAAGCGAATTGAATTTAGGAGATTTAAATAAAGAACGTGTTTTACGTGTCGCGCACACTTGTTATCACCGACGTTTTCCCTAATTCGTGACGAAAGATTTTTAAACCGTATTATTGACCCGTGCCAAATTGGAATATGCACGACTGTGAATATATGAAAGTTATATTATTATGACGAAGATCGCTTTCATATTCACGTCTTTATCCACCACTTCACGGATCTATTTGGAACCAGCATAATGACTAGCTCCCAATTAGCTTGTTAGCTCAGTTGGTAGAGCGCTACACCAGTATCGCAGAAGTCATGGGTTCAAATCCCGTACAGGCCTGAATTTTTTTCAGGCCTTATTTGCACTACTGCTCAAGTACTGCGAAGATCGCTTTCGTATTGGAAAACGAAGTTATGAATTCTTTTGACAGGAGTCTATGGGATGATTTGCAATAAACAACGTCCTCACGTCGAACGCAAAAGCAGGGAAGTTGAGATTCTCAGGCTTTGCCGAGGATCTTTTCCAAGATGGCAGCTTGAGGCATTCATGAGATGATCTACCGAGGAGAACATTATGTCCATATTACATGAATAAAGATTTAGCGGACAAAACGTCAATTTCTCCATTTTATTATGTTTTTCATGACCGTTTATTTGACGGACAAAGGTATGTGGCTGCATAATGATATAAATGTAATTCTATTCTAAGTACGTAGGTATTTTAGTTTTACTATTACAGTTAGGGTTTTTTTCAAACATAAATGAAATGATTTCTTTCAAAATGAAAGTAGCTGGGGTCTGTATATCAAAATTAAGTGACTGCAAGAGAAACAGCCACTTACGAGTTAGCCTTAATTAAATACTTTTTTGGCAAAGAATGAAAGGAAAATTATTCGGTGACACCCTCCCGTTCAAAACACAATAATTGTCATTCCACTTTCCATTTTCCTGCCCTTCAGTGACGGTGTGAACGCACTCTTCTCGGGTACTGCTCGGCTGTGACCCGGCCCATGCAGAGTATTCCAGCGGAGTATCATCGACCCAGTAGAACGCGTAGTCTGGAAAAAAATCTCGTTGCAGTCCAATCCACACGCCTAACGCTTGTACTGTTGGCTGATTCGCTACCAGGTTAAGGATGATGTTATTCTCGTTCACGGATTTTATGACGGCTAGGTCTGCTCCATAATTTTCGCAAGTCCAACGGGCATAGTTCCAAGAAGCAGTTGGAATATCGATTATGAAAAAACACGAGCTTTCAAAAACGGCTCCGGAAACTTCGGGACAATTGCCTGTTCGACAAAAAAATGAGATTCTCAGTAACGACTTCGATTCACTCGTTTATAAAAAGATTCCGATTTGAACGCCCCAGGGCTAATAAATACTTCAAACAGTCAAAATACGAGCATTCATGAAAGGAAATGAATTAACGATAGTTTCTGTCAGCTCATTTTTTGGAGTAAAATGATTCTTGATAAATCTTGCTAATTCCACGCTTTCCGAAAGGTATCGAACTACCTTGAGGTTACAGTGAGGTTGATGAGGAAGACAAATTTGCTGCATTTTTAAATACATGAAGCAACAAAATGACCAGAATTTCACCCCAAAAGCCATGTAAGCACTGACCTTTTCACACAACCTCGAGTAGCTTTCTAATCTCAGGTTGAATCACCTAGAAAGGCAACCCATTTTTTGTCGTAGGTTTGAAAGTATTCCTTTTTGGACTCTTTTTTCAGATGATTTTTCAGTATAGCCTTTGTGTTTAGGCAATTGCTCCTCAAAAAGGCTGGGCCGGGTCATTCTCGAAGCAAACCTCGTCTGCGCAGACCAGCATGGGCAAGCCTCATTCAGACTTATTTTCAGCACTTTTTGTCAAAAATTCAAACATGAGCTCATGAAGATATGCCCTACCTGAAAACTCATATCCATTGGCTGCGGGAAGCATAATTTCACATCTGTCTCCGATCCAAGGTATTTTGCAAGAGCATGTGAACGTGTTTTTCTTCATGTCTGATAAACAAGAACCGTCATTCATGCAGCCGGTAACCAAACAGCCCTATGAAACAGGTTAGAAGCAAGAGTTGTAAGCACATTAAGGATGGTAGTAACCTTCAATTCAAAGTTTAATGTAAGGAGTCTCTGGATTGTAAAGTAGTCTGATAATAAACTGCAACTCATGGCCACTATAAATTTGTTGATGCATGTCATTTGATGTGAAGGAAAAATTGCAAAATTAACAGATTTAAATTTCTGAAATGTTTTCTCCCATTCATTAAGCCGTCATAGCAGTTTCAACCAGAGATATTATCGGCTTGATGAACGCGATAGTTTGACCCAAAGAACACATGAAACTGACATATATGTTATGCGTTATGCAAACCCGAATCCTGCCCAAAAGTAGGCTTAAATGGACATCGACTCCACCAAACGAGGATAAGCAACATTTGTATTTAATAAATTTTTGGAGGCTTTTAGTAGTTGCTTCCTAGCCGTCCAATATGATATTATTGTCGTTTACTGATGATGAATGATGAACTTAAAGCCTCCCACAGGTGAAACAAACCCATTTAAGGAAGGTAAAGTGGTTGTACCCTCGTGTGCCGTACCAAATAAATTTTTCGCGCTCGGCAATGGCCGCTTTAAAAGCAAAAAAAATGCAGATGTCTTCCAAATAATTATGATAAAATGGAAATGCGAGAGCCTCGTTATATACAATCTCCAGTCGTATTACACTATAAACTATCGTACCTGGTTCGGTTGTAATCGGATAAGACAGAATCGTGAGTTAAGATTTAGAACCTTGTGCAAGATGTTCCATTTGATGTTCGATTCATCGGGCACGCAAGATGTTGAGATGTGATGCTTTTGGCAACGAGCTTGATATAATTTCAAAGGAGAATTTGAGGCCATTTTACGGTTGCAAGTCTATAGCAAGGCTGACGATAGATATTATCATGACTGTAATGATTTTTTCTGGCTTATCAATGCAGCATGAAATGACGGATACCTTTCTTAAGACAGTAAAGGCCGGTAATTCAAACAAAGTTTAGCCGTTATTTAACAAAGCCGCGTTCTAAGCCTTCTTGAACTAAGCTGAATCTGTTATCTGAACATTTACTTTTGTAAACAGTGTCAATAGGGCCAAACCAAGTTGTGGAAAGACATTTATTTATCGAAAAAAAAACCGGGCTTATAGAGAATACATAAGGCCCATTGCTTGCGTAAAACTCTTGTAAATTACAAGCCCAAAGAGTTCTCTCAAGCTATATTACACTGGCTATCCTTATTATTCTGATTTTATTACCTTAAGTAAGTGCGAAAAGGTAACTCCCAGCTGGTTTTGGAGGTTGCTGTTTTGGCTGTTAACCGAGAAATCATGTTTGTTCAGTTCACAAGTTCCTTTTCCATTCTTCATAGAGGACAATTTGAAGTTTGTGGAAGTACACCAGGCAGTGTTCTGACAGTGTTGGCCGCACGATAACAAACTGGCAGAATCAAAATGATCAACTACGTATCCGATAAGCTCTGTATCTTTCAGGGTTGTAAAATAGGATGAACGGGAAGATGTTGTGTAGTTCTCGATGGAGAATTTCAATTTATCAGCCAAAATAATTCGAAGCAGAACTGACATAAAAAATTTAGTGTACTTCATAATTAAGGACTAAAACAGACATTAACCATCGTAAGGGCGATAATCAAGCGGTTTTTGTTCATTATTTAGCTGTGTTTCTTGTAAAGGTCCAATATCGAGAAGCACTTAATCTTTTTGATGAAAACAGGAATCATTTAGAAAAAAGTGAAGACAGAACACCTGGCTTCATAGAGGTTTTCCCTGCCTGGTTTATTTTTTTCTGTATCAGAGATGGTCAAGATTATTCCATGCGACAAAACTTGCATCATCAATCAGGCTTGAAGTAGGTTTAAGACAAAATGTTTTTTTTTATAAACAATGGTGAATGGAGAATACAGCGCAAAGACATTGAATCTATTATGGTCAAAAGAAATTAAAAGTGGCAGCTTTTTTGTTCTGAAATCTCTATAGTGCCGTGGTACACTGTTAATCTGCGATCCTTTTATTTACCTAGATAGAATAGAGTAATGCTTGGTTCCTGCTGAGCTTAATTATTATACATTAAATTACATTATGATTGGTCGAGAGCATTCAATCGATACACAATAGCGTTCGAAATTGACATGACAAGTGCAATATCAGCGGCGGATTTTGCATTCAAAGTCCTGTAGTTGCCAAGTCTATCGTCCGTGTATTTTTCTCAAACTTTATCATACTTGGAGAAAAGTGCCCTCTTTTGCAGATTGTTCTAAAAATGTATAATTAAACAGTTATTGAGTTAGATTTTCGCATGATATCATGGATTATGAAACTTCACCTCTTGCGTAACCGTAACTAAAGCGACTTACCGTCGCCAAATTGCCGAAAAAAAAAATTAATGATCATTAACCATCGGTAAAAGCGATCTATATTTTCGCACTTGTTACAGACAAAGAGATTTACATGTAAGTACATATTGCCTCCGCTAACGCAGCTGGCTAGTCAAATGTACTTTACAGTTTTTTTTTTTGTTCTTTTTTTTTAAACTGGTGTGGTAAATGATACACTGGTCAACAGTAACCATCTTTTAAACAACCGGGGCAAGGAATGTTAAGTAAATGAATCTAAGATTTTTGTTTGATAAGCTTTCGATGAAGGAGTACCCTTAAGCTCGGACTTTATGTAC